AAATATTTAAAAAAAAAAAAGTTTTATTTATTTTATTGATTTATTCATAGTTCGGCATTCCAATAAAACAAATATAACCTTTACGAGATAATTAGCGTTAAGGAAAAGAATTTCGGAGCTAATTTTTTTCGATTGAGTTTTTTTTCTTCGTTACTAATGTGTGCGGAATTTTCTAAGAAAATACTTTTTAATTTTGATAACATGTTTATAAATTGATTTATGCGGAAAGCATGGCGCAGAATCAACAACAGTTTAAAAAATTTCATTTTCGTTAAAGGGTTTCATTTGGAGACGATTTAATGAAATTGCAAACTTTCCTTCATTGACCTTAATTATGCAACATCTTCATTGGTTGACTCTGAGCTCTTAATACGCAGTATTGATTGACATACGTATAGTATTGATATTGAAAACAAACACAATTACAAGTACTGCTCGCAAGCCTTACTTCGATGTGCGTAGGATCTTCACAACCCCTGTCCAGGTTGATGCTGCAAAAAGAGCAAACTGCTCATCAGGATGAAGCGACATAATCTGCTAAGCGCAGGTATTATGGGATAGTTATCTAACAAAGAATTAAAACTTGGCCACTTGGTTCAATTCATTAGTATATGAATTGCCTGATAAATATGTAAAATACTTAAGCGGCTCTTAACAAAATCTGTCTGGCTCAGAAATTGGGGGATTCGCAAGGGAAATTTGCCATAGAGAATTTTTATAATTTTACTTGTTGTAAGTGGAAGTGTAGTATAACGAAAAAACGCACTTCGCCAGACCGTAACTATCCAAACAAATTAGTTAACAAGCTTTTTAATATTTAAAAAAGATAAGGTAAGCATTACTAATTCGCAGTTCAAATTGCAAATAAGTTATTGGTCATAAATTACTTTAATTAATGATAAAATCCCCATTCAATTACACTCCGAATGCACATTTATATTGTAACGAGTTTCCTTAGGCGGGGTATGACTCAGTCAATCCAGGATTCGTTGCAAGAAAATTTAGAATAAAAATAATCCGGACCTTCGGGGGGAATGGTGTACAAATTCCTTGATTTATTATTTCCTTTTTACTGGAGAGAAGTACAGCGATGGGTAGAAGCTGGCTATGGCAAGGAACCAGCGAGGTGACCCGACTTCTGGTGTGACTTCCACGTGGTACGAAATTTATTTATATTTATTATTACTTGGTTTTCTTTTAACTATCGCGGAACACTAGAAAAGCGGAAACGTTGCCAGTGTCATAGCGGCCTTGGCCCTTGGCCGGCGGTTCATCCCTGGTTGGTATGTGAGTACAAAAAAATAAAAGAAGAGACGTCTCCCAGTTCTTCAGGGATGGCGATTAAAAAGCTGAACCAGCACATCCCCTATCAGTTAAATCAGTTGTCCTGTTCAGGGATGGCGGTTAAAAAGCTGAACCAGAACATCCCCTATCCGTTAAGTCAATTATCCTGAAAGTCCTTCAGGGATGGCGATTAATACTGAACCAACACATCCCCTATCCGTAAGTCAAAAAAAAAACTCTTTACAAAGGTTAACTCGTCAATTTTTCCGTGGGCACTTACGGCTATGACACCAAACTGAACGATTCTGTGCGATGCGCTGTTCTTTTATAGCCTGAGTCTCGCTCGCTTGTCCTATTGCCAACATGTTCTATTTGTTTACATTGAGCCTTGAGGTACTATGCCTATGTGTATGCTTAGCTTAGGTTGGCTGCAGTCGCAACCTCGGTTACGACTTGCATGATTCTACTTATGTACAACTTAACCAACTTACATCTAACTTATTACTATGTTTGTTCAAATGTCTACTCACCAAGCACTCAGGTACCAAATCGCGTGATTCGATCACCGTTAGGTATGTGAGTGCTTGCGTACTGTGTTTGCATGTGCTTTGTGTGTTTTTACATGTGTGATTGTGTCTTTGTATATTTTGTGTATGCAGTTTATGCATTATCGTATGTTCTTATTATTCTTTTCTACCTAAGTTCAATTCTGCTTGTTTTGTTTACCCTAACGGTGCTACACATTCTGCGCATTTTTACACATAGAGATTTTTGCTGAAGTTTGTCTTGCATGCATAGATTTTCTATCTAAGTTCAATTCTGCTTGTTTTGTTTACCCTAACGGTGTTACACATTCTGCGCATTTTTACACATAGAGATTCTTGCTGAAGTTGTTTCGCATGCATAGATTTTCTACCTAAGTTCAGTTTTGCTTGTTAAACATTTTGGGATTTTACTTGTATTTATACTTTGAGTTTTTATTTAGCCTTTGAGTACTTAAACATTTTGAGATTCTACTTGGGTTCTTACCATATTGATTTCTTGCATCTAAGTTTTTCTTTTATTTGGGTTCTTGAATCCGCTATTACATTTTGAAATTTGGATCTACGCTTTTTGGTACACTGGGGTTCTTAATCTGTGCTGTGGTGTGCTTCTGTGGTTTTACGGAGGCACACTCACTATGTGCTTGTACTTTTCTCTTAAAACACACATGTGGTGTGTGTTTCTATGAATTAACTCACGTGGGCCTGTACAATATATGTTTGGACATTTTTCTCGTTACCAGGTATAGGCATATTTAATGTGTGTTTTATGATTTTATCTTTACAAGGTATCGGTATATTAGTGTGTGATATTATGATTTTATCTGTACAAGGTATAATTAGTGGGTCTTTTTATGATTTTGCATTTGAAGTTGGAGGGGGCTGCTCGTGTATTGTTCACAGAACGACATGCGTGGGCAGATCGGACTTGCTGACTGCGGAGTGCGGGTGGGCTTTTAAGCGGACGGACTGTATTTCGTAAGGATGCAAAAACACTTCCTTACAATATTGTCGGCTGAATAAGGAGTTCAAAAAAACGTCCTTTTTTTTAAAAAATTAAACAGATTAAACAAGTCGTAAAAAAATTTTTTTTTTAAAACAAAATTAGGCGTTTGTTCGTGACATAGTCAGTAAGGTCCATTTGACGAACTGCAACAACGTTACGGGGATAGATTGCTGTGAAACATCTTAATTTTGTTTTTGTTTTCTAATTCCTCTGTTCGACAAAAAAGTAATTTTAATAAAAACTTACTTCAACTAAGAGGTTTTACGATAGATCTTGGTAGCGATTGCTTTTGTTTGAACATTTTGCATAACATAACACCTATCGTATTTTATTTTTAAATATTTTTTTTTTTAAAGAATTTCTGTTTTCATAAACATTTAACCTGCAAACAAATCGGCTTAAATTTTCAAATTTTTTTTTTTAATTATAATATATTTATTCAAACGTAATGGTCAAATATTTTTATTTATTTATTTGAAACGGCCAAAATTAATAATGTAACTTCTGAGCTTCTTGAAACTTGGTTTTTAGCCTTTTTAAATATATTTATGTTAAAATAAATATTTGCTTGTGACCGAAGTTTAGATAATCATCACTTTTGTTCTGTTTTTGTAGAATATTTTGTGTGGTATATTGTGAATTTGTTGTAAAGCAAACGTGTTCACTGCTCTTGCTGCATAGGGTCATAGTAGTAGGTACGCAGTAGTTTGGGTCATTTTCAACTCCTTTTGCAAATTTTTAAATTATATTTTCATTTTTGCAAAGGAGAGAATGTTTACCACACAGATACCACAAAAATGCGCAGGTGACCAGATGGACATACTCAGATGCTTTTAAAATTCGAGATTGGTCAAGAACTTGTATACGTTTTCGGGTTTTTGAAGTTTGCTTCGGGTCGGTATAAGGGTTTTGGAAAAAAAAATGAAATTAGGACACACTATAACATGAGGTAGGTGCGGTTAATTATTTACCACTTTTGTACAAATAGTACAGCATCGCGCGTACGTTCAAATTTCGTGCATTTAGCTGCTACAGTCCATGAATAATAAGCAAAAACTCAAAAGTTTATTCCTTTTGGAAAACTGAGGTGTTCTCAGTTTACATGGTACTACAGACGTGCACTTCGACCGATTTGGCCCATTTTCAATACCAATCTGCTTGCAAGAACTTTCAAGGTTTCTGCCAAACTTGAAATCGATGTATTCGTTTTTGCGGCCAGAAAAGTGTTTTCAACAGACGGACAGACGGAAATTTTTAAATCGATTTAGAATTTGATGCTGATCAAGAATATACATATATATATATATATATATACTATGTGGGATCGCTGATGCTTCCTTCTAAGCGTTGCAAAAGTTTTGACAAAATGAATACACCTTTCATCCTTTAGCGATGGGTACAATAAGTGATTTGAAAATAGACATTCTTGGGGTTCTAAACAAACTAGTTCACTTTCGGACACATTATTAAATACATTTACGTATCCAAAAATTAAAGTATTGTTTACAGGCGACAAGCTCTTCAGAAAAGGCCGAGAAGGTATTAATGACGTTGAATGCCCTGGACGTCCCAGCAACCAAAGACAACATGGAAGCATTGAAGAAAATTGTTACAGATTGTTATTGTCGAATCACTCATTACCAAAGTCACCGTAGGCATATCGGTTGGCTCATGGATGTTTTGGACGCGCTATGTCATGGTTAGGCATGCTGAGTATGTTGAATGACTACAATGCCAATGTGGTGCGAAAAACGCCTGACGACGATATTAAACCTGATTAAACATCATTAAACTTGATTAAACATGATTAACCATTATTAAACATTTCAAAATTAGGTAGCCTTGCGCATCAAAACCTCATTAAATCTGATTAAACTTTATTAAACTTGATTAAACATGATTAACCATTATTAAACATTTCAAAATTAAACAGACTTTCGCTTCAAAACTACATTAAACCTGATTAGACGTCATAAACTTAATTAGACATTATTAAACATTTCAAAATTAAGCCTAGCTTTTCATAATTGTCCCTTATTTCTAGAATAATCAACAATAGGTAGATTGCATTGACTGTATTTGTTTAATAACAAATTATGTGTATTATAAATATCAAATAATATATTAATAACATATTACAATTCGTTTTTTTAATGAGGGATATTGCAGCGGTGAGAAGTACCACATGCTCTATATTGGATCCTTCAAAGTCACTACCTTTCAGATATATGTTCCGTATAGCGAAAATCTGCGAGTTAAATACTTGAAAGCGTCTCAAACGTCTACCATACATTTAAGTTTCTGCAAACTATAATTAAAATTAGGTATAAATAATTCCGTAAGTATGGAAAATTAAGTAACAGTTAAAAGATTAAGACTTCCAAAAAGTATCTATTACCTTTGCCATCAGCAAGCTGCACTCTTAACATATGATAATAAAAGTCTATAACTTCAAAACGCCTTTGTTGACCAAATAGAACAATCATTGCCCAATTGAGTTTCTTTATTTTATTTATTTTAGGTAGCGGATCTTTTGGTGAAACCTTCAAAAACCGAATCACAAGAGAACTTATAATATTCCACACACAAAATCTTAACTCTAACAAATTACCGTAATTGGCGAGTAGCCGTTTATCCATTTCTCCCAATCAATAGTTATAAGATTAGGCCTAGTCTCCATAAGGAGCGAGTTTTCGATCAAGTGTAGGTAAATAAGAAACCTTTACATTTTTTCATCTTTCTTTTTCCAATTCTTGAAATAAATAAAAGGTACATTTTGTTTATGTTGTATACTGCCATAATAAAGTAGATTTCTTTAGTTGCAGAATAGGTCTCTGCATTCAAACTGTTGCTTTTCATTTTTCTGCACAATCTGTATACATAACAGTAACTAATGTATGTTTTTTACTCTTACCGCAGATTTCAAGAAAGCGATGGCTAATATAACAACGAAAAGAACATATATAATATACGAGTACATACAAGTTTGGCGGCGTATATACTTGTTGTTGTATGCCGCCAATATGAACCATCGCAAGAGATGTAAATCAAAGTAGTAAAGAAACAAGGAAAAATTAGTAATTTAGACGCATTATAGATTTCTATATGATTATGACAGATTTGTATATGTTTTTCTAAAGTCATCGCGTGTACTTGCTGTTCATTTTTCGCGCAGGATTTCAAACATTTTTTATCATGTTTTATTAAATTTTTTATTTTAAACATTTTTATTTTCATTATTTTATAAACGGTGCAAAAGAAAAATCTAGCTAACGGCTTAAAGCATTTCACAAGTGCTTGAAGAAGTTTTGCAAATTGAAAAATTCTTAAATAATACGTAAAGAAAATTGCAAAAAATTGGCCAAAATTTTTTGGGAATAATTTAGCTTTAAATCAAGTGATTTTAATTTATTATTATTTTAATTTTAGACTAATGAATTGAATTCGTAGACTAAAAAAAAGAGACATTGAGCACTAGCATAAAAATTAAAAGAAAAGAAAAACTGAAAAATTTGTGCTGTGTTAAATAAATTTAAGATTTTGTGGATCTTCATCATTTAATTGTAACTTCATCATTAACTGGTAAGTGCATTTTAGTGCATTTTTATCATGGAGATACTAATTTGGGGACCGCAAGCCAATATGACGAACTCCGACGCATGCTGACTATAGTATCCCGATTTTTTTTTGTGTTGAGGGAGAAAATTGGGTTAAATTGTTGCCATGTTTGGCTTAACGAAATGTACAAAATGTTTATTTTCATTTTTTTAAATTTTTTTTGTGAATTTTTAGTGTTGTCGCACGAAATAAATTGAATTGAGTTAATTGTTATTTGCAGGCGGCATCTTTATTTGATGAGGAATGTGCAGAATATTTTTCTGCATTTAGTCGTTACTTTTCATTTTTCTGCACAATCTGCATGCATAACAGTAACTTATGTATGTTTTTGTATGTACACAATTATATTCTATATATATTCAATATAAATATTGAATATTTTGTACTTTTGGATAGAAATAAAAATTTAGTAATTGACATTCATTGTGGTTTGAATTAAATTAATAATAAAAATAATTGATTTTAATTAAATTAAGAATAGAAGGAATTTAAAGTTTTTTAAGTTTTAGTTGCAGTAAAGCTTTCTTGGCAACTAACGAAAGCCATGCATTCGCTAAAGATCGCTTATTGGGTTTAAACGGATTTCTTTCAGTTTCCTTAGTCTCGGGATACAATGTGTTTTGGATTGTTTCTTCAAGACTTCTGAGTGTTGTCATCACTTACTAGACAATAAGCCACAAAAGTATCGAATATTTCGCTCAAGTTAACGTTTTGACGATGTTGTAAATAATCCGCAATGGAACGACTATTGTGTACAATTTTGCAAAGATATTTTGCTTCCAAAGTGTGACCGAAGTCGAGGTAGACCTTGCCCAGATAAAGAATATCAAAAATGAAAACATTTGTTGCAGTCGTAATCGCTATGACTGACGTTTTATTATTTCTGCAGGATTCTACCGGTTAAATTATTAACGCTATCATCGATTGATTTGTCGTGTCAGTCAGAGCGTTGTGGTATTTTTGATCAGTTTGTATAATGTAAACGAAATCTTTCTTTCACTTGGCACTACAACTTATTTAATTCAACGTTACTTAAACGGAGCAGAAAAGTATTCTCTCGATTATTCGTGCCTGCGTTAACAAATTCTTTATTGCTGTTACTCCGTTCAGAAATTTTTTGTTGATTCGAAAGATTTGTCGCCTTTTTGTTCATGATGAGAACAAAAGCCGCTATCGTTACTAATTACTTGCTTGTCGACTTTTTTGTGAAATAACTACTACTGTATTTTTGCTAACTATTAGTTTTGAAGATGATTGCGCACATTAGGAGCATTATTACCTTAGAAGGACCTTGAGGTCCTTGCGCTCCCTGAAGTTTTTTCCAGCGTAAACAACACGAACCCCAGTAAATTAGCTCAGTGCATCACGCCGCTACTGCAGGATCCTGCTGTCTGAAAGAAGGTAATCCGTGCCACTATAGTCGGCAGTATGCGCTTGCCGATGTTTCGCATGACCAAATCTTGGTGCTTAGCGGCGTAGAAAGCATTGTAGTCGCCGTTAAATGCTTCGTGGATCTCTTGTGTTGGAAAGGTTGGCTTAACATATTTGGAGAAGAAGGTCAAGTTGTCTCTCTTATTCACCGCAATTTTCCATCGCTCTTCTTTTCACAGAAGTAAGAATCTTTTCTTATCGCGTTTGGAAATATAATTTAAAAAGAGTCGTTATTAAATTGCCATTTTGTTCTCATCGAGGATAAAATGCCATGAAGCCATAAATGAAGGTAATCGAATTAGTCTGAAACGTGTTACCTTGTATTTGCTTAGATGTACACAAACTTGCTTCAGGAATATAATAATAATTTGATATAAAAATTGAACTTTCTACATCAACAATAGGGAATTTGGACCACATAGTCTACTTTGTGGTTTGCTATGTTCAGCAAGTAAATTATGTTTCTTATTATTATTACATTATTTACATAAAAATAATGATTAATAATAATTTTTTTTTTTTAGAGTCATCCGCGATGATTAAGACAGCAATTTAGTTATTTGCGTGAAACTGCCACAAACTAATCGACTGACTTCCTTCGATGTAGAACGAAAGTAAATATAAATCTTGAAAATTTCGAGTGCACTGCTCCCTTAAAAACTTTCCAGACATTCTTATAGGTGTTAGTGTGGTGCGGATATATTATATAGTTAAAATAGTCCTAATTCTTAAGTCATATACCCATAGAAACGGACGTGTTATGCAATCAAACGCATCTATATTTGCAGCGTAAGAAAAAAATGCTTGGCTTTTTCAATGTTATCCTGCTAACAAAAACTGAATCCATTCAATTAAAATAAAAGACAATGAGAATATTAATGAAATTAAAATTTTTCCTTTTTTTTCTTCTAATAACTTAACGATATAAATCAACAGTCTCTCAAATATTATTATCCTACTGCCATTCTTCGGACCAAAAAAAAAAAAAAAAAATGGAAAATTATGTATTTCTTTGAAGTGATACAATTGTTACTTGCATTGAAAACAGGTTTTTTAAAATTTTTTTTGAACTCGCACGGAAGAAAGTTTATTAAATATTATTAAAAAAATTCATGAACTGCACAAAGTTGTGACAAATAAATCATTTCAATTTTCGAATGTTGTTTATCTATTAATCGTTTAATCACATATTTCGTTCGACTTATTATATCATTATCTTTTAAATTAATTTCAAGTATTAAGTTTTTCTATGGGACACTTTTTCCCACCTAAGTTCGCGCTAATCCAAATTTTTTTTAAAGCGAACGTAAATTAAAAAAAAAAAATTAGATTTGATTTCATATAAACCGCAAGTAAAAGGTAATTCAAATATAATGAAAATGTATTATTAATTTCTTATTTACGTCCTTATTTGTATTTAACTTTAGATAAAAAGACAAGTATAAGCCACTCTCAATTAAATGCCGCCCATTACCGTCTCATTACTTCCTTGTCCTAAGGTAATTATAATGTTACATAGGTATTTTTATAAATTTCTCATTATTATTCTTGTTGTTTATTTATAGCTGGGGATTCGCTCAGGGCTATCCAGCTGTCCGTTCGAAGAAATTTGTTCTTTGAAATAAGGGAACCTTCGTATTGTGGTGTTAGAACAAATACATATATTTATGGAATTGAAAAAGCGTACAAGGTAGCCTTGTTTGCGACGTGGTGAAAGAAACAAAACCAACACGTGTTTAGTGGGCAGCCTTGTTTTTCTTTTCACCGAGGCGATGTGATTCCCGTGCGACTATGTTAATTAATTTGTTTAGTAGTTTAGCAGGCAGTTTACCGGGTCCCTAAACATGTAAGGTTCCTACAATGTGATTTC